CGTAAGAAGAAAAACAGTAAAGAAAAACCTCCATAACTCCGCTCAGAGAATCGTTCTGCAAATTTTGAAGACAGTTCTGAGTTCACCGTGTCAAGATGAGTACAGTGATGTGCATCTCATTGCAAATGGCCAGGCTGACCTGTTGACCTTTCCTGGTACCGCAGTGAAGACGGTCTTCGAAGTTCCCGCTTCCCCTAGAGTTACTCGACTTCGACAGGCTTCATTTTCATCAGCTGAGTGTCATTCAATTTAAACGCAAAAAGACCTTTTTGTGGAGCGGATCTCCCTGGACCCATTGTGTCTACTCTGTATAGACACGTCCACGAAAATTAGTCGAGAAGTAGGACACTCACGACCGTGAGCACTCTTCATTGTCACATCTCTAGACGGCACTAGAAGGACGAGGTGACACCATGGAACCCACTGCTGCTAGAAGTTCCCGCCCACTGCCTCGCCCACCCAGCTGCCAAGAAATGTGACTTCGAGATCAACTTTCAAGAGAAAAATTTCAGGCACATCCGCTTGACCGTCTCACATTTCATTCTTTGGCGAACGTCATTCGCAATATTCTGAAAGAAAGACCAGAAGCATGAAATCGAAGATTGTTCAACAGAGAAAAGAGCGTTTCTAACTTCCAGCTTTCCTTTTGAAATAATGTTGACGTTTTAAGCAAATTTTCTGCAATAAAAACAGAAAACCGTACCCAAAAAGCCTCAGGATCTCAGATTTTCACCATCTCAGTGGATCGTAAAAACAAATGTATGTTCACAGCGATCAGTCCATCAAATTCTCGAAGAATCACTCATTTATAGTAGAAAGCACTTCCAATTAACCCGTAATGTTTATATTATCAATTTTTCCCAGTTTTCATGTTTGTCCTCCATGTGTCGTCGAACAATAATTGGTTCCAACGCCAGAACATAAAGCAGCATGCCTGAAAGAGTAATAATGGTTAGAAGAAGCTAGAGAGGAGTCTGAACGTTGGTTGTTATACTGAGTGCAAAAGTAGAAACAAATGAGAAAAACAGAATAACAACCTTTTACTGCATTTTGGGCGGGTAGAGTTAGATCCTCTAGTAGAAAGCACGGAAAAAGAAAGGCAACTATCTGAAAAGAAAGGATATCTCTCATCTCACGTAAGAAAACGAACCACATGTATTTCTGTGGGATTCTAAGCCGTCTCAGGTCACTTGTCAACCGTGAAGCTTCTCTCCTCTTACTTTTTCCTTCCTCCCTTCTTTCCCCCCTTCTTTCTCTCTTCCCTCTTTCCTTTCCTTCTCCCTTCCACTGCTGGGCCAGTAGACACCATGGGAAAATACCTCTGGACCCACGCAGAGAGAGCGTACTGTTGTCTACAGCCCTGTAACCATTCTAGGCAGCTACATAACAACACAATGTAAAATCATGCAAGCGGATAGTAAAACAGACTGTCCAAAACCCACAACATCGAACTGCTCGCGGAACTGCGGGATCTTCACCGCTCTTTTCCAGTAGTATCGCCACCGGGCGAACAGTAACTCAGCTATGTTCTCAGAAAGCCAATGCATTGGTATGTCTGATGACATCGTGCATATCAAAGCTAAGAAGAGCTTCAACACGGCTTCCTGAAGAGCAAAGTTTGTTGCAGTAGAAGGTCGAAAGCCCACTCGAGATGAATTGAATAACCCAAATTTGAGGATTTATTGGGGAGACAACATCTCTATTAGTAGGAAGATGGTGTTTTTCGAAATTCTGTGGACACTGTGATGTGATATCAGTAAACGTAGCATCATCCATCAGGATAAAGTGGTACAATGGTAACTCACAATATTGTTCGTAGACTTTTGACAGCTCAACAACATTTTGCCGATGCTCAGAAGATCAACAAGCTTGTCAAGACGACTTTGGAGTGGAAGAGATATCGCACAATACCCAAATGTCGATAGCAAGACATTACTAAATTGGAAGTTCACTTCGAAAACGAAAAACTGCTGGCAAATTAAACTACATATTTGCATTACACAATTATTGATGACACTCGTTGTGACAAACCTAAAGGAGGTCGTATTTGACCGCCGAAAAGGGGGAAGTTGTAGTTTGCCGCGAGAGAATTTCGCTGGTTGCAGATTTTCCTCCTGTCCATACTCGCTGAACATCCCCACTTTTTTCAGCTGGCAGCTCCACAAAACCTAATTGTTGGTCATAGGTGTCCCCTCTTCTCCCCACTCGGCGGCAAACTTTTGGGAGAAACTTTTTGAGAGAGAAGGTAGGTTGTGAAAAGAGGCCGGATTGCAATACACACCAAATCCTCCAGCCCCCGGAATTTTCGTTCTCATTTCGTTTGTTGGTTGGAAGTTGCATGGAGCGAGGTGAACACAGTCATTTTCAATACTCCCGAGTGTCTAACATCATCCATTGACAAGGATGATGGAATGCGCCAGGCTTGACTTCCACAAACAACCCTTCGGGCCAGCTGATGCGTCCTGTCGTGTTTAGACAGACGTTATTTATAACAATGATGTAGTTTCCTCTACACCGAAATTGCTCTGTCATGAATCTCCTGGCATCCAAGTCGGCGAAGATAGCGGGTTGCAACCCTGCCCTACTGGCAAGTTACATACAACTCCCACGTCGTGAACTCCGCGACGTACGCTTGCTTAAAAAGCCGAAAACGACTCTTGGGAGTCGCCTTTGTACGGATTTGACTGGAAAACTAAAAGGTCTGAAAGCCCATCTCATGACGATTGCAGGAACAAACCGTACAGCTAGACGTACCTTGATGCGCGTGCCCTTCTATGGCGACGAATGTTGCGGGGGGGGGGACCGATAAGGAATTTACAATGCTTGGGCCTGCTTACTAATAGAGATTCTCATGGCGGCGCGATGACATCCGCTCCTTTGTCTCCTGAGGCGAGACCTTTCGCGGACTTTGATTATCTGACCTCTCCTCACATTGAGCATTGGGAAGAGAGGGATCATTTTTCACACCGGCACCCCCCTAACGCAGCCCCCCCCCCTTCAACTGCGTCTGTCCCAACGCCAGCTCTGCACCGCCCACGAACAACGCAAAATGTACTTTGAAATTTGAAAATGTGAGGTAAATATTTAAATTTTTCAAAGGCAGTGGGCATGATAATTTGTTTCCTCACAAAAAAAAACGGAATTGGTGGAGCTTATTAGTACGGGCGAGGCAAAAACTTTATGAAGCGGACGTAAGGGATAAATAAGACCCCTGAGCCTCTTGTTGCGTCATAGGGTGCACTGAGCATGGCATTTCCTAGCTAGCTGACTTGACAGGCCAGACACAAAGAGAACTAGTTTGCTTGAGAAACGCAGAAGCAGGAAAAATAGTAGACGCTAACAAATGAGGAGCAGAAAAAGAGTAGACGCTAACAAATGAGAGCAGCTACGCCGCAGTAGGTGAACTCCTCCTTCGAGAACAATACACCACTTTAAAAACATATCCTTCAAAACAACGGAGACTTACTTCTTCGTAGCCTCTTCTATGTAAATGTCCACTAGGCTGGCTAGCTTGCCCTCGACCAGCCCGCTACACTCCATCCAGAAATCGAAGTACCTGTAAATCCAGGCCATCACTGTGGGCCTAAAATATTGATAAATATTCATGGGGTGTACACACCTTGAAACCCGACCGTGGAATCGCTGATCAACTAAATCAGAACTGAGTGTTTTGTGCAGCAGATCAACGGAAGAGTCGAAAGTAGGGACATGAGCAAGTAGACAGTCGAAAACAATCTGGAGCATGACTGGGTTTTAGCTCCGTTTTTCATACGAAATACTGAAAAACCCAACCTGACTTCCTTTGCACTCTTTGACCTCAGACAGTATTTGATTCCCAACATCATCACTTTGCAGAGCAAACTTTAAAAGGCCGTTCACCACCGTTTTTGCACGAAACACAGGCAGCACATGTGTAAGAGTAGGCAGATTTTTCGAAATCACTGTCCAGTAGGAGGTGGAGTTGTTCAATAATTGTGGACAAGTGAGCTCATATAATATCTGAAAGAAGTGAGTTGTGAACAAGGGCTCGATGGTAAAACCACCAATCAAACAAACCATAAATTGATGGGATCTTAGCTGTGGCTAAAAGGTCGTCCACGAAGCAAAGCTTCTGGCCACGCACTATCGGTGAAGGAAAAGATAACTTGCCATTGGGGCACTCACAAGGGAAGTCTTCAGGCCATGGTGAGCTTTTTGGAAATGATTTATTGCATGATGTAAGAGTCCACGCATGGACCACACAGATGGGGTTCATTTTTGCTAAACGTTCTCGGGAATGCCAAAAAAGAGTGAAAAAGCATGAAAATGCTATTTAAACCAGCTTATTCAGCTCCGTTCTGGCTGTAGCAATGAGATTGTATAGTTTATGAGGTGTTCTTTGAATAGGCATGAAAAACAAAGCAAAATAAGGTGAAAATCCAATTACTTCACTCAGCATGTGGTGAGCTACATTGAAGATTCTTTGCCATCAACGCATGTTTCTGCAGTGGCTAACCATCGCAGCGGACATGGTGTGATGGATAGCGCGACGGACTCGAACCTAGGGCAGTTTCCTGGAGACATTTTCCCTTTTCCAGCTTTCTACCTTCTTGTGTTCCTGTGTGCCCGATAATGTGTACAAGCCGGTTATACACCATTTTAAGGCACATTCTATGCACTAGTAGTTTTCGAGCGGGCCCTACTCAACTATTACGCTCTCAAAGTGCTCTTAAAGAAATGTCCCTGAAATTTGGCCGACTACGATTATCGGATGCATTGACTTTAAATATGACAGTTGTTCATAAATTCAGTTGCGATTTGGTGCCAGTTCGGGCCACAAATTTCCTTCACCGGATTCCTTATGAACCCATGTATACGGGCTGTTTAATGCCATGCCTGCACCAAATACCGTCGGTTTCACCAGCAAATATCACAGTCGTGATCAGGTCCATCAACTAGCCTTATACACAGATTTTCAGCAAGGATTTGTCGTCCTTTCAGCGGTGGTACAGTTGGGTAGCGTCTAGAATCCTAACTCTTCCAGGTATTTTGCTTCTTCATGTGAAACTGCCATTTATTTAGGTAAAGCTAACATCTGTGATGAAAATCAACAAAACATATAAAACACAAGCATCTGCTGCTTCAATTGCACCTAACAAACGCCGAAGATGAGCAGTTATTGCTTTGCTGACAAGCAACAACGATATCTTCTCCGTTGAATCCCAATCCGTCGTAGTTGAAAATGGTCCTGGGTGCTCGTCAACATATCCAGCGAACACAAATTGGCTATACATTTGGCTGATAACATACGGGAATAAGTATTCAGAAACTTGGTGAAGACCGCAAACAAAACATACTTTGAGGATTTGCCCCTGGTATAGGCGAAGTGCGACTGATGGTGCATCACATGATCATGAATGCGATGCAGTATCGCTGGAATAAACGAAAAAAAACACATTCAATGGCTGGCAGAGGGTAGTTGCTCCAGCAGTAATTGTCATCAACCAGAGTTTCTCCCCTTGTAGCACTTCTGAAAGCACATTGGCGTGGTCCGCAAATCCAGTCCAACTATCGACAAGGAATATAGTCAGTGGAGGGAGCTCGACCCGACCACACACTCCTCTGACGAAAGATGGTACCTACGATTTTGTCGTGATGTGAGTCTTCCCAGCCATCACCAGCAGGTTCGGTGCCTACCAATGCCCACACTGTGGGAAGTCTCCTCCCCTATCGCGAAGAATGATCAACAGCTTATCTCCGAGCCGACCGTCAGCATATATGACGAGTATAGCCGTGAACGAGTGCTTGAGTAATGAGAACGAGTGCACCACTCTCATGGTGCACCACTCTCATGACCTGCTTTGACTCGATCGGAGCTAGTGTTCTGGCAACAGGTGCTGCCATCCTGTATTTCTATTTTTTGGTGGTATCAAAATTGTTAACAAAATGGGCGTCCCCCGTGAAGCATACCTCTTCGAGGCCATTTCATTGTTTATTCCCGTCCGACCTGCGTTGGCAAATACAGACAAAGGATACTTCTTCATTTCCCCTCGGACACTCTTCACGAATGCATCGGCCTCCGCTTACACCTCACTTCTACAACGTAGGCTGCTTGTTGTGACAAAGCGCGTCACCTTCCTCGAACGCAAACCGCATTTGCGCACGAATTTAGCGATCCATGTGACGCTGTAAATTCATCAACAGGCCGTGCTCCAGCTTCAGGCGAATAGCCGTTTGTCTGATAACAGCATAGGACAAGGATAGCCCTAGACGTGAAAAGAAATTTGCCGGCATTAGATGACTTTCCAGATTGAACATTTCAATCATACCTTGTTCAGAAGCTTTCAGCGCTTTCGCGAAGAAGGGCAGACAACCGTTTGAAGTATTCATCCTAGATTCCTCAACCGCGGCTGAAGAGGAGAAAAGGAGTATTTTCAAAGGCTTGCTTAATATGCGTGAAATTGTAGAATGTACGCCATTTGTACCTTTTCTTTCGATTTCTCGAAGCATATTTGTGTGATATGCCCTTCTGATCCATCTAAAACGGCTCCTCATGGCTGACGAAGACCTAGATCCTTTATCCGTATCACGGTAGTGTCCAATAGCGCGCTTGATCTGTGATAATACAAGGATGTTGCACCAAGCCTGTGCTACCGCGTGCTACAGCTAGCACTAACCATGCTTGCAGGAATGGGCCTCCCGTCGAGAAATACGCTCTTCTGAGGAAGAACATACCTGTTGCAACCACAGTCATCATTGTCGTCATCGGGAGTTCAGGTGACGTCCAACCCTTCTTGGAAGACACCTGTTTATTGCCACCAGTGAGAAAATCGTGATCACTTTATGAGATGAAGATGCCCATATACTTCTACAAACCTAACCTGTAGCGAATCGTCCTCCTCCTCTCACTCGATGTCTCCATCTGCTGCGCCCGAAGAATACCTCTGAAGGCGTCAGCAATCGCAAGTCTCTTTTCTCGTTGGAGAAGAAAAGTCTGGAGTGAAGGTCGACAGAAGACAGCCGATTACCTTTGCAGGTGAAAAAGACATGTTCAGATAAATCGGACACACACAACCACTTACAGAGATACACAACATCGCTTATATAGATGTGGTCAAAATCGGTAGATCACAGCGATGTACATGTCGAGGCATGTATGAAATCGAAAGTCCGGAGAAATTGTTCCTCCAAGCATTGCGTACGCCTGGATATGTACGAGCATGCTGGACCATTCGACTCCGACCGATTCGGTTTCCACTCGATTTCGGGGCATTTTCTTTAATAGTACTTTGAGAGCGTAATAGTTGAGAGGGCCAGTTCGAGAACCACTAGTCCATAGAATGTGCCCGAGAAAACATATCTGGCTTATACACATTATCGGGCACACAGGAACGCAGAAAGGTGGTCTAAAAAAGTGGAAAAAAAATGTCTACAGGAGTATCTCCACAATCTACCATAGAGAGTCTGTCGCGCTATCCACCACATAATCCGTCCACTGCGATGGCTGGAATGCAGTAGCCACTGAAGAAACATGCGGGGATGACGAAGAAACATCAGTGTAGCTCACCACATGCCAAGTAAAGAACTTGGGTTTTGACCTTATTTCGCGTTGTTTTCCATTTCATTCGAATATCACCTCATAATTTATACATCATAATTTATACATTCTCCACGCTACAGCTGGGATGGAGCTGAATAAGAAGGTTTTTCACTTCTTTTTTGGCATCCAATAACCGTTTAGCGAGAATGAACGCCATCTGTGTAGTTAATGCATGGACCCCTACATTATGCCGATTCCAAAAAGCTCATCATGACCTGAACCAACTTCTGTCAGAAGCATTTATGTAGTTCTGAGAGATGCTCATGTTCGCTTGGGATTCTCAAAAGTGCACAAAAGAAGTACAAGGACGTGCAGACAACGAGAACGAAGGTATCGAAGCTAATATCGTACTCTGCATTGGAAACACCTCAGGTTCTCAAGGTTCTCTCTTCTTCCCAACCAACTCGCGACGGTACCAGAATCGTCTGGGAGGATAAGAACACCTATAAGCAGATCGGCTGGCTACCGCCAGTCATTGTATAGGCGAAACCGCACCTAATAAGCCACTACGATTCTGAATAGATATAGGCGTGCCGCATCCCAGAAATGGGCTTTATCAACGACGACGATTTTATCCTTTTGACCTCAACTGATAGAGTACCCTATTCTGCTTGAACGAAATTTCGAAAGTTTATTGTTAAACGCCATCACTTCCTCTGAAGTTTGCTAAATGGTGTCGTCTAGAAGGATGAAACCACCCACTGACGCAGTGGCCGGCCCATTAAAGTGACTGCGTAGAGTTTGCGCATTCAAAAATTACTACGCTGGAACCTGAAGGCTTGGCCCATCTCACAAAATTAAAAAGCTAACATCAAGAAATTTATCCACTCACGACCAACTTCGTTCAGGGACCTTTCAATCCCAAGTGAAAAAGCCTAATTTAATCTCGGAACCTCTCTCAAAGATTGTGGTTCAGAAGTAGGTGGAAAAAAATTTATGTGCACTGTACCTGTGCATCTTTCTGCTCACAGGCGATCGTGAAAAGATTCAAGCGAGCTTCCTCATCGCTGTGGTAGTCTATCGAAGACAACATGAATTGAAGGTCCAGAGGTGGAAGACGACGACCATCACTTCGTAAATGACCAACCATAGTATACAGCAGATCATGCAAACATTGTCTTCCACACTGAGACTTCTCACTGAAAAGAGAATATTAAAATCTTGGAGTACAAGAAACTGAAAAGTAGCAGGTGCTGACAAGCAGATTCTACGGGTCTAAACAATAAATTATTGTAGTGAGTGGGTTATTAGTGCGCTCACAACGAGTCCGTGCTTAGTGCATGTCTTGACGACTTGTAGATTTCATGCTCTTACAATTCAAGCTAGTTGGACTTCATATGCAAGGTTCCATCTCCAGCAGATCAGCAACGTATCACTGAATTAATGAAAACATGATGGTCGATGTTCAATTAGTTTAGTTGAGAGATTGTTCCCCTTTCCTCAT